TCAAGATGCATTGATAATAATGGGTGACTGGAATGCAAAAGTTGGGAACAGAGAAGAAGAATCAGTAGTTGGAAAACATGGACTCGGAGATAGAAATGGAGCTGGAGAGAGAATGATCGAATTTTGCACAATCAATGACTTATTCAGAGCAAATACGTTTTTTAAGAGACATAAACACAGGTTACATACTTGGATTTCACCTGATGGTATGCATAGGAATCAGATCAATTACATCTGTGGAAAGAACCGCTGTGAGGCCATTAGAGAATGTTTATCCTGTTTTTAAATTATCTCACCATGAAAGCAGTAACAGGGTACAGAGCAAAATCTAAACTGAAAAGTAGAAAAAAAAGGATATACATCCCACTGGCAAGTGACAAGTCTGAGCAGGTGCACACATCTCCTTGCTGGGCTGGGCATCACTATCCACTTTGACAACCCTGCCCCAGACCATCACGACTAGTGGACACTTCTGGGAGGTGTGACTGGAGACCACTGGCCAACATTCAACACGAGTGCAGAGCCAGCCTCCAAGGAGTCAGCTCAGCTCCACAGTTCAGTCATCAGGCCACAGTTCTTGAGCCTTCTCTTCACTGTGGATCCTTGAACCCTCCGGGAACATGTTTGGTTAAAAGAACGCAGGCTATGGAATGCAGGCTGCCGCTTTTTACGTCTCTAAGAAGGACGTTACCGGTGCTGTAAAGGACAAGGAAACTGCACCAGGGGCTAGCACAGCTTTCTGTAACATGTCGTCAGGACAATGCAGACAAGACACATGTCCTTCAAATGCTTAGCATAACACGAGGCTCCAGTTACCGCAGAGCAACCATCCTTCCAAACGGGACATGTTTCACCTGCTAAGCAAGTGCCCAGCACCTCCAGAATCCTCTCGGCATGGTGGAGTTAGCTGTCTGAACTTGGTAAGCATTTCCATTTTATGTCTCTGCTTTATAAATGTAATCAAATTACCAGGTGGCACTTTTGGTTTTGTTTTTCAAAAAGGAACACTATGCTTAACACGTTGCATCTGCAAATGATGTGTGTGCCACTGAGTCAGAACTGGCCCACAGCTGACCCTCCAGGGGGTTCAGAGGTAGGAAATCGCACAGGAGGGGACTGCCCAACCTTCTCCCACAGAGCAGCTAGTGGATTTGAACCTCCTGTCTCTGGGACTGCAGCACAGCTTCTTACCACTAGGCCACCAGAGCACCTTCATATGCAAATAGCATGCCCTTCATTTCTTTTTCTTATCTAGTTCTCCCAGTGACAAGGGAGCAGCCTCATCTTCCTCAGGGCCTGGAGCATCAGCGGACATGTTTCTCACTGAGTATGCTGGTGAGAGACTTTCCTCGTCGTCCTCATGGCCTGGAGAAGGAGCCTGCGTGTCTTTCACTGAGAATGACGGTGAGAATCTTTCCTTCTACTCACTGTCTTTATCAGGAGTTGGATCCTATTAATTAAATGCTTTTTCCTCCATCAGCTGAGATGACGGGTGCTTTTCTCTCTCCCCCTTTTCCTACTAAGGTAAGGAGTGTAACATGGTCTGTTTTCCTGTTTGGGGCCTCTGTTGTATCCTGGAAGAATCCCTCTGGTCCTGACATGCAAGTCTTTTTTGGAAGACACTGCTGAATCCTTTTTTGCTGGTGACTATTTTAGAAATGTGATTTCCTGTCTTTGATAATTTCTGTCAGGTTCTTCCAACTAGAGGCCATATTCCTGTGTGTGCACATCTTTGTATATTTTTGTTAGATTCGACATTCTGAGTGTTATAAACACTAACACTGGAAATACTCTTACCCCATTTCTCTACGAGTGCTGCTGGGACTTGATGAAGGGTCTATCTGTGTTACCTTAGGGTCTTTCGAAATGCTTTCTGCTAACTGTGTGTCACTGCACTCAGCCAGTGACCAGGTAGGCATTTCTTCAGGGAGAAAAGAGGCAAAGGTGTACAGCGACTTTAAGCAGCTGCTGTTGGATGAAACTTGCTGTCAAGAGGGCAGAAACCATCAGATCAACTAGCACTCACACCCCAAGTCCTTGGAAGCGAAGGGCCTCTCCGGCTGACCTGACACCAGCCAGCCACTGCAGGAATGCAGGCCGTGGAGTCCGTCCACTGCTAGGTCTCAGGGCTGAAGGGAAGGGAATGGGACTGGCATTGCCAGGGAGCCTCCATGGTTCGTACACGTGATCAACAGCATCTCCCTTTACCAAAGTGTTAGAAATGTTTACGAAACTTCAGGACTCTAAACCACTGAATTCCAGTAGCTCTCTGTAGTTCAGTCAAGGCTCTGATGGAAGGACTGACCTCAACAGTCCCCTTCTGTATTATTTTGTGTCATACTACCCTGTGTTTTATTCTCAAATTTTATTTCAGCCTTTTTCTAAACATTCGTAATCTGCTTAATAATGGATCTGTTATATTTTTTCCTGATACCAACTAGCTTAACTTCTAAAAAAACGTATACACCATTAAGAACAATTTTATAAACTATCAAGGACTCAGAGATGAAATATTATTAACTGTGTGTTAGAACTTTCCCTCCAGCCTTCTTCTCTAGTAAACCCCACAACTATGAGTGAAGTCTGGGAGTCAATTTGCTAAAAACATTGGATCTAATGATTCAAAGACAAGAGTACGGAGCATGGCATGTGAGAGCACAGGGCTGTTTGTTTGTTGTGCTGGATGTTATTGAGGGGGCCAGTTCCCCTTTATGAAGGGGTCAGAAGTCAGACTCGGCCTTCCCCATGTTGTATCTGCTCCTTAGTCTTTAAAATAGCACAAGACAAATGACTATTCTTACCTACAAGGTAAAATCTACTACATCACAAACAACAATTTATTAAACCTTATTAAAGAGTAAAAAAAGTAGCTAAATTAAAAGTGATCCACTATTTCACTCAAATCCACTGATTACATATTTCAATAAATAATGGAAAGGGGGAAAAAAGATACTACATTCAAATTAAGGAGCGAAATAAAAATCATGCCCACAATACGTCTACTGCTACCAGAAGTTGTTTTTCTATTAGAGAGAAAACACAGCATCTTAAGTCTCTCACCATCCTGGCCTGTCACTGGCTGTGGGAGGATGGGCACGGCGTGAGGATGGGTAAGGCATGGGGATGGACAGGGCATGAGGATGGACAGAGCGCGAGGATGGACAGGGCGTGAGGATGGACAGGGCGTGAGGATGGACAGGGCGGGAGGATGGACAGGGCATGAGGATGGACAGAGCGCGAGGATGGACAGGGCGCGAGGATGGACAGGGCGTGAGGATGGACAGGGCGTGAGGATGGACAGGGCCGGAGGATGGACAGGACGGGAGGATGGACAGGGCCGGAGGATGGACAGGACGGGAGGATGGACAGGGCGTGAGGATGGACAGGGCGGGAGGATGGACAGGGCGTGAGGATGGACAGGGCGGGAGGATGGACAGGGCGGGAGGATAGACAGGGCTGGAGCAACACCCACGAGGGCCGGGCCGGCACCAGGGGGCGCTGCACACCTGGCTGTGCTCAGCCTCCTGGAATCGGCCTCTTCCCTCTGGCAAGTGCACAGCTCTGCCTCTCCCCCTCTTGGCCGTGTAAGTGCAAGGTTGCTCGTGAGAGGGCCTACTACCACAGTTCCTGACACAAGGCAAGTCCTCATAAGGGGTGGGCTTTACTACCAATCTTACAGGCACTAAGCATTTTTATTTGAATTAGAAAAATCTGAAACCATTTACCCAGGGCCTACTTTTTGCCAATGAAGAGCCTGAAAAGCGTAAGGGCTGACAAGCAGATAAGAGCCCTGGCCAAATAAAAAAGAATGTCCATCCCAGTTGGAGAAAGGGGCGCCCTGCTAGACACACGTCCTCCACGCAAGCACAGCCAGCTGAGGGGATGAGGGGCCCACGCACCTGTCCACCAGCTCCTTCATTCCCTCTCTGTCAGGTATGAGAGACTGGTCCTGGTCATCGGCTAGCGGGGTCCCGGCCTGGCGGTATATGCAGCGCACCATGTAGCGGACTTCTGACCAGTAATTCTGTAGCTGCTGAGATTCTCGGTCTGTCTCTGCCGAAATGTCTCTGTGAAAACAACAGCAGGAAAGTTAGGATCCCATGAATTAATACAAGCTGTCCTGTCTCCTTACCCTAACAGATTACCCTGGGGGATGATGACACTCCTCAGAGCAAGAAAACAGAAAAACTGCTCACACATCCTGTCCCGGCATGCCATTTCCATCTGCCTTCAAGTTCATGCCCATCACTGAAGCCACCTTCTCCTGTTCAAGTCAAAGCCACATTGGCTGGCATCCCCCAATTCCTCGCCGTGAAGAGGGAAGGTCTCCCTGGGCACAGCATCTACGCAGCTCAAAAGGCTACAGACCCACTTTTCACCACACGTGTGATCACAACCACTTTCTAAACTTGGGAATGCTGAGACGGCCTTGGCCTCCACATGGCCAACACTGTCAGGATGTCTGTGCAAGCACCTCTCACTGTCCATGAAGCCTCTCCAGCCCTTGGTCAGCAGATGGTCATGCTGGTTTCCGACCTAAGCTAGGCATAGGGCTGTTCCTGAATCCACTCGCCCTTGGATAGCCGTCCTCAGTCCTTTACCAGCTGTCCAGCACCAGTCTTCCTCCATCACTGTAGTTAGGTGCCATTCCCCTCCAAGGCACCTTAGTGTCTGCTTACAGCCATCTACTAGTTTAATTAGATGGATCTACTCTCCTTTTCAGAGTGCTAGTTTCCTGTGTGACTTCAAGTGCAGAAAATTTTGCCTTACACATCTGGTTACTCCTCACAATAAGCAGGGTTATTCTGAGGAGTGGTGGGAAAGTTTGTTACTTATTAAAGTAATTTCAACTTCCCTTACAACTCAAGCATGACAAGCCGATCCCCTCCCAGGACAGTGAGGGGCATTGGAGACGCCGAGAGAGTGAGTGGCACTGGGGACACCAAAGCCCCCTCCCAGGTGAGTGAGGGGCACTAGGAAAGCCGAGCCCCCTCCCAGGTGAGTGGGGGGCATTGGGGACGCCGAGTCCCCTCCCAGGTGAGTGGGGGCACTGGGGACACTGAAGCCCCTCCCAGGTGAGTGGGGGGCATTGGGAACGCCGAGCCCCCTCCCAGGTGAGTGGGGGGCATTGGAGACGCCGAGTCCCCTCCCAGGTGAGTAGGGGGCACGGGGGACGCCGAGTCCCCTTCCCAGGTGAGTGGGGCACCGCATTCAGAGGGTGGAGTGCGGAGTGCACGGCCCATACCTGCGCTCGCTGCAGGCCTCACAAGTGCAGGAGGAGTCGGTAGGAGCGGAGTTGCCCAGCCCGGCCGTGGGGAGGGTCTGAGCAGCGACAGCGAGTCTCCCGTGGGCGCCAGCCTCAGGCTGAGATCCACCGAGGGGGTTATGCAGGAGAAAGTCATGGCCCTGCTTTGGAAACAGATGAAGAGACTAGTTAAGCCTCAATGTTTGTGACACCAATTTTCATGAACTGTGAGAACAACAGTGTCTTCTAGGAAAATTTTACACACTAGACATTGAAAATACTTGAACATTACATGGGAAAATTTTCTCTATCAACCAAGAGTTTATTCAGAACCATCTATTTTCTTTACATAATAATTACATGGAGATGTTCAATGTATTCCTTCCATTCATAGAAAGATCACTCCGCTTGCCGTTTCCTAATTGGCACCTAAGACGAGCACGCCAGGAGCACGACTGGAAGTAACCTTCTATGACAGGTGCTTGAGATGGCACGTAGTGTCGGCAGCAGCCAGGCAGCAGGGCAGCGCCTCTATGTCCCAGGAATCACAGCACCAGCTCTAAGCGGGGAATTCAGAGGTGAGAGGAAACCAAAGCTCACAGAAATCCTGGGAACCCTGGCCAATGTGCAGGTGCAATAGGAAGGGTGAGTTCTTCTCACTCCCAAGTGCCCAACAGTCAGTCAAAAGCTTATCGGCAACATCAACACAATCTGTCCCAAACACCGACTTTTGCTTCTCTTGTCCCTGAACTGGATACCATTCTCACCCATCTGCTCACAAGAAGTCCTGAGAGTGCAGTGAGCTTCTCTAAGGAACAAGACCTGATGGGATGCCCATCTCAAAGTGCAGTGCACGTCTTGGGGCTAAGGACCCCAAAGTAGAAAGCAAGAGTCGAGATTTCTTCCCCAGGGCTAACGGGCAGCAGTTTCCAGGCTACTACCGCCCTTGCCATGCTGCAGGAGAGGCGTGTGGAGGCGTTCGGTGGGGAGCTTCTTGAATGCACAGTAGGCTAACTCACCCCTCTCCTCTCCACCCACGGGAGGAGCGGGAAGGGCTCCATCTCCTCAAGTCAAAGAAAACCCACAGAGATCAGACCCTTCAGGAGAATGAGGTGTCAGTCTGTCACGGAAGAGTTGGGTTTCTCAGCCCTTCTTGGCATGCTTTTTCAGATGGAAGAATCACACCACCCCATTTTGCTATCAGACAACCTCTTTCAAGTGGCTACTGTAGGGTGTAGTGGGTACTGTGGTCTCATGATAAGGAGCTACGTTAGCGACCCAAAGTCACAGGGTTCAAATCCACCAGCTTACTCCATGGGAGAAAGAGGGGCAACCTCTTCATGTGTAGTTTAGTCTTGGAAAACCCTCTGGTGGGTTCTGATGAACTGTGAGTCAGTTCTGATCGAATGGCACATAACAACAATAATAATGCTAAATAAACATATATATAAGCAGCTCAGCTCTGCTAACCCCAAGAACAATAAAAACAAAGCAAGCCAAGGTTCATCATACTCACACTGCTGAAAATCAAAGATAAAGTGAAAATCTGAGAGGCAAGCACAGCCAAAAAAGGGGACACATCTACACAACAAGCGGTGACAACAGACTTTTCCTCAGAAACCAAGCAACCTATGAAGAACTAACTGACCAATAACCTCGAGCCTCTACCCAACTTATGTTTTCAAAAATGAACGCAAAGAAAAACCTTTGAGACAAACAGAAGCTTGCCTTCACCAGACGAATGCTGACGGGTGTTCAAAAACGAGGTGCTCTGATACACTCAAGAAAACAACAAAACTCTAGTAAAGGAAGGGCCACAACTCAAATGATATCAGAAATGAGCATATGGGAGGGAAGCCATTATGACACATCACAAAGATGGTAAAGGAAATGTTATGAACAAATTGAAATCACTACACTAGAGCGCAGATCAAACACTTTGAAGACGAAAACGTCACTCATGAACAAATAGATTATTTGAGAAAACTAACTCAAGGTACATCAGGGACCTAGAAGTAAAACCAAAGACTATACAATTCATCAGACAAAAAAAAGCAATAGATATTGACAAGGTATTAGCAAATTCAATCCAGCAAGATACACAAAAGTTCAAGACTTCCCCACTAAGAAAACTAAGCTCTGATGGCTTCACAGTGAATTCACCAAATAGTTCAGGTAAAAATGTAATCACTTTTAAGTCTACTTTGCCAGAAAGTGGTAAGAAATTGTGTTGCTATCATCCCAAAGGCATGAGGTTCAAGGTCACCAGCTGCTTCATGGGACAAGAATGGGCAATCTCCTCCCAGGCGATTAACTGCCTCCAAAAACCTGCCAGAGGGATAGCTATGGGTGGGTTCACCTCTAGGGTACACAACGACAGCAGTTCATTCTGGGAGATTAAGTATGTTGTTGTAGTTGTTAGGTGCCAATGAACTGAGTAAACTCAAAGGAACCCTATGAACAGGCAGTCGGAAAGCTGTCCTAGCCTATGCCATCCTCACAATCTCGGACACACTCGGGACAGCCGAGACAAGTAATTTACAGAGAAATAAGAGCTTTCATAAACATATAATAAATATTTTAAAAAGCAATAGATTTTTTGTTTTGTATTTTTTACTCATTCATTGTTTCACACTTTCTCACTCCCCCTCCTCTAGTCCACCCCACAATGCAATCCATGTTTCAGATTGTTCCCATACATTTAATGTACAACCTTATACTCCTTTCAGACACGTATGTGGGGAAAAGATAGACTCTTTAACAAAAATGGTGTTGGCAAAACTAGAAGACCATTTTGCAGAAAATTTACACAAAGCCCACACCTCATACCTTATACAAAAACTAAAGGTAGATCAGGGACTTAGAAGTAAAACCAAAGACTATGCCAGGTGCTGATTATGGGACAGACCACCAACTACTTATATACAAGATCAAGCTGAAGTTGAAGAAAATGAAATCAAATCCACGGGAGTCTGTCCCACTCAAATTTCAAAGCCATCTCAAGGAACAGGTTTGAGGCTTTGAGCACCAGTGAACATAGATCAAATGAGCTATGGGAGGATATCAAGAATATCGTCCATGAAGAATGCAAAAGATCATTACAAAGGCTGAAGAGGAAGAAAAGACCAAGATGGATGTCAGATGAGACTCTGAAGATTGCATTAGAGCACCAAGAAGCCAAAGATAAAGATAATGGAAGAAATCAAGGAGCTGAACAGAAAATTTCAAAGGGCACCTTGGGATGACAAAGCAAGATATTATAATGAAATGTGCAGAGAGCTGGAGTTAAAAAAAAAATCAAAAGGGCCGAACTTGTTCAGCATTTCTTAAGCCGAAGGAGTTGAAAAGCAAATTCAAGCCACAAATGGCAATACTTAAGGATAGTTTGGGTAGAATGTTGAATGATCCAAGGGGCATTAAAAGAAGATGGACAGAGTACACAGAGTCACTGTATCAAAAGGAATTGGCTGACACAGAAGAATTTCATGAAATAACGTATGAGGAAGAGCCTGTATTGATGAAGGAGCAAGTTCAAGTTGCTCTGAAAGAACGGGCAAAAAAACAAGGCTCTAGGAGTTGATGGCATACCAAGTGACATATTTCAACAAACAGACGCTGCCCTGGATTTGCCTACAGAGTTGTGCCAAAAAATCTGGAGGACAATCACCCCGGCCAACAGACTGCAAGAGATAGATAT